CTGCCACAGTTCCAGCACAGAAACCCCACTGCCACAATTCCAGCACAGAGACCCCACTGCCACAATTCCAGCACAGAGACCCCACTGCACTGCCACAGTTCCGGCACAGAAACCCCACTGCACTGCCAAATTCCAGTACAGAAACCCCACTGCACTGCCACAGTTCCAGCACAGAGACCCCACTGCCACAATTCCAGCACAGAGACCTCACTGCACCGCCACAATTCCAGCACAGAAACCCCACTGCACTGCCACAATTCCCACTCACACGGGTTCCCCTGAGCCTTTGGAGCAAAGGGCTCAGGGTAACAATTCATCCCATTTTTTTGGGGACTGAAATATGAGACCAGAGGTTTTGCAAGTCCCAGCTCAAGTGCTGGAACAGCAGATGTGCCTCCACTGCTCCTCTAGAAATAGCAGCTTTCTTCCCAGCTTGGAAAAACCACCATGGCACTTTATTTCTAAAGCATGACCACAATTAGCATGTCCCTTCCGTGGTCAGCTGAAAGAAAAACAACGTCCTAGGGTGACTTGATGATGCTTGTATTCCCAGCTGTCTGTGGGGATACAGGCATCATACAAATCATCCTTACACCAATTAAACAACGCTGATTCCTGCCCCACGGCACAGGTGAGGCTGGCACCAGGGTGCACCAGGAGGTGACAGTGCCCAAGGCTCCCCCATGGTCTGCCCAGCAAAAGCCTTTTAAATGCCATTAAGAACTACATGATAGCTTCTTAAATTCAAACTATAATTTTAAATTGTGTGTTAATTTGCATCTTTATTATCTGCAACATATCTCACTGTTGTAAGTATATAAAAAGCGACTATCTGATAAAATAGTGTATTTTACACTTTTTTTAAAAAAAGCCTGGAATAAACACAAAATTGGGATTTTCTTTCCAAATCTTGGAAGGAAGAAAAAAATTAAACTAAAATTGTGCTAAAAATAGTATAAATATTTATTTTTAGAAAGCACCAAATCAACAACGTTGAGCCTGGCAGCCTCACACACTGCACCAGCCAGGTGAAACACAGGGCTCCCGGGAGTGCCAACCTTTGTCCTCCCTATTGGGAGCTGGAATCTCACAGCTTCCTTCCCAGCCCTGCTGAGCAGGGCACTGGGGTGTCACTGCTGTGACACTGCTGTGACACCACAGACCAGCTGTCCCTCAGGCTGCTCATGTCCACCAGGGCCACCCCAGGCTCAGACTGCTGGAACTGCCTGTGCCAAAGGGGTCCCAGCAGTGGGGTGCCCCACTGCTCTGCCCAGGACAGCGCCCATGGGGCATGGAGGCCAGTGCTGGGACACCTTAGAAAGGCAGGAAACTGCAGGTAATGGCAGAGCTGCAGTTTGTGGTTGGCTGTGTGAGTGCANAGCGGCCCAGGGACAAGCACGATTTTTAGTCTCGGGAGTTTTGCCAAATCTCCATCGGTGCCTTTTGGCACCTGCCCCGGGCCTTCTCCATCGGGCTGCACCGAATCACCCCTGAACTGCAAGGTGTTGAACAGTTTGCAGCGTTTCTGCAGTATCTGAATGGGTTTGAACTAAAAGAGATTTAGATCAGATGCTAGGAAGAAAAGCACTGGCACGGGTTGCCCAGAGAACCTGTGGCTGCTCCATCCCTGGCGGTGTTCCAGGGCGGGCTGGCCGGGGCTTGGAGCAGCCTGGGACAATGGGAAGTGTCCCTGCCCATGGCAGGGGGTGGCACTGGAACTGGACAAGCTTTAAGGTCCCTGTCAACCCAAGCCATTCTAGGATTCTGTGATTGCACCTGTACAAGCAAAAATCATCTGACTAAATTCTTTTTGCAAGAAAACAAATTGCCCTCCACCACAGTACAGACCCAGCAGAGATGAAACCCAAGTACTGGGATCAAGTGGCTGTTAAACAGCACCAAAAAAAGCTGCTCTTGTACTTTTTTCTTTTTACAATTCTCATTCAAAGAGATCCCCGGAAGAAACTCAGGACTTCCATGTCACCCCATCCTCAATTAATTGTGATGAGAATTACAACATCTTATTGCAGTGAAGTCCAACACAGCATTCCCTCTGGGTTGATGTTCTATTGCACTGAAACAGAGCACAGCAGATATTGCACACCTCACTGCTTGGGAAATGCTGCAGGGGGGTTAGAAAATACCTGCCAGGATCTAATAGAATATGAAGCTTTGGGTGTCAGAGCAATAAAACAAGAGAGGAAAAATTGCCAGTTTCCTTTCTGGGAGGCCGGAGCCGGTGACTGCTCCCTGCCCACGGCTCCCCGTGTCCCGCACCTGCTCGGCCATCCTTCACTTGCCAAGTACCTGCTAAGCCACGCGTTCCTTTCCTGGAGATGCCAGCTGGCTCTGGGAGCAGCGGAGGGAANGGGTCCCCAGCACCCACAGGTGACAAGTGTTTAAATCTCAGTCCCAGAGGATTTTAGGGATGTCATCTGTCTTTTGTGGTGCAGAAGAATGGCCACTCCAAAAAGCAGCTCCCCTGAAAGCTGGCTCCCAAAACCACAGCACCCCTTGCCTGTCCCATCACCTGCCCGCAGCAAGGGTGCCACCCCAGCCCAGCTGTGCCAGAGCTGCCTGGGTGACAGCCCCGAGCCAGGGGAAACACACACAGCACCCCAGCACGGGCACAGGCACAGGGACAGACTCCTCCTCCTCCTCCCCGTGTGCCCTGAGATGAGGCACCTTGTCCAGGCCACCTTGTCCAGGCCACCTTGTCCAGGCCACCCTCCAGCCCTGCCAGCCTGAGCCCTGCTCTACTCAGGACAATCACTTCAGCCATAAATCTCTGCTTCCTTTGGAATTGTGGGGGAGAGGGACTTTCTTTTCTCTAAGGATAAGAGAGAGTTGAAAAGTAAAACATGGGCTGGTGGTGGGCTTGCCAGTGCTGGGGGTACAGCTGGGCTCAATGACCTTAGAGGGTTTCCAGCCTAAACCATTCCACGATTCTGCAACCCCAGAGTACCCAGAGGAGCACAGAACTCCTGACAGACATCAGCACAAATCTCATCTCTGTCTCTGTGCCTCTCTTTGCTCCCCTTACGACAGCCCCCACCCTGTGCCACCCCTCTGCATTGGCAGCTGGGGGTTTATCGGGCACCCCACAGCCCTCCCTGGCACGGTGTCTGTGCTGGGTGAGGCGTGCCAGCACCAACCCTCAGCTCTCCTCAGCACGGGAGCAGGCGCCATCCATCACACACTGCACACAGCCAAACCTCTCCCCAAACACAGCACGCTGCTCCCACAGCTGCTGCCAGGGGAAAGGCTCACCAGACCCAAATAAATTAGAGATCTAGCAGAAGGAAAACAGACACATCATCACCACAACTGCAAAATAAAGGCATTATTGAGGAAATGAGTCTAAGATGTTGCAAGTGTCTTCAGGGCTTTAGACACGTCATTATGGTGTTTTGTCCCTTTCTCACAGTCTAAAAATAAAATGGAAAATTATCTTTATTACGTCATCTGCAGTGGATGACTGACAGATTTATCCATGCCCTGTACTTGCAGATTACTGGAGAGCAGAGCGGATCAAAATTGTCCCTGCCCATCCCGAGCAGCCCCACAAGCATGGGGTGAGTGGAGGATGGTTGGGGAGCCCTGCACCCTCACCCTGACCACACTGAGAGCCATTGCCACAACCACCAGGGCTCTGCACCACCAAATCCTGCCCTCACACAGGGGGAAATGGAAAACTGTGGCTGAATCTGCTCAGAGACATGATGAGAGTTGGAGTTGCAGGAAAGACAAAGCACTTTCCTCACAGAAGACTGTCAGAGACCACTTTCAAATATAATTCTACAAAAGCAGAAGCCTCAGGTTGCTCAGACACCTGCCTGTGCTGCTGGCTGACTTCTCATGCAGAAAAACTGACAGAAATCACAAACCAGGTGCAAATCCCTGACCCTGCTTCCAGAGCACTTGTGTCCACCCAGAACCCTTTGTGAACAGAGCAGGAAGGTGATTATTGAATACAGCCATAAAAACTCAGGTTTCTTGCACCTGTGGCACTTCAGCTGCCTCAGCTCTTGTGGAATCAGGGGAGCAGCCTGGGCTGCACATTTTGCACATTCCCTTGGCAAGATCCAGGGGTTTCCCACTGCCACCCTGCTGAGCAGGGGGTGACAAACCTGGTGTCCAGGAAGCCCGTGAGGGGGTGACAAACTCGGTGTCACAGCCCCACTGTGCCTCATACAGAGCTCCTCACACCCCTGTGCAGCCACTGCTGCTCCACAGCCCGGTGCCACAGCCCCACTGACACCCTCAGGGACACAGCACCCACCAGAGCTGTGCTTTGTCCGTTCTGCTCCATCAGGAGCTGTGCTTTATCCGTTCTGCTCCATCAGGAACGCCCCGGGGCTGCTCCTGGCCATTCACAGACACTCTCCCCACTGCAGAGGCTTGCCCAGGTCAGCTCCATCCCAGCCCACCCACAGCCCCGGGGATGTGTCCCGAGTTCCACCCACACATCGGGATCGTTCCTGCTCTGCTGTGCCCCGCGCTGTCCCAGAGCGGCCGGCAGGGCATTCCCGCAGCCCGCAGTGATGGGACAGCTCCTCTCACTGCCCAGCCAGCACCACCTTGGAGCTGCTTCCCTCCCTCAGAGCACGAGGGAGAGATTGAATGGGAAACCACTGCCTGAAATCCTCTGTGCAGCAGGAAAGGCTCCCTCCCTCCCCAAGGGCGTCCCTGAGCACAGCCTGGCATTGGGGATGCTCTGTCTCAGGGCAAAAGCCAGGACTCCCGCCCCCTGGAAACCAAGGAATGAGCAAGGTGACAGTCACAGAGTTAAAGCATCACAGAGGCAGGCAGAAAATGTGCCCCAGACTTTCAAAATAAGGCACTCTTTAATCTGGTAACGAACAGGACTCCTCTACTGACTCCAACACAACAATTCCCTTAAACCATTCCATTCTCTGGTTGAGAAATGAGGAGAAAGTGAACGACTGAGGCACGCCATGGCTGCAGGCAGCACGCCAGGCATCCAGGCCTGGGCACANGCAGCCAGGCGCCTTCCTGCCGGGACAGCACCGCCAGGAGAGGGTCAACAGTCAGCTTTCAGTTTGTCTAAGGAATTGTCAATTTTGGTCAAAGTCTTTTTGATGCGCAGGGCTGTCAGTCTGGCCGAGGGGTTCTGGTACCAGCACTCCTTCATCAGCTTGGCAAGAGACGTCAACGTCTGGGGAGGAACAAAAACACACAGCACAGGGGTCACTCACAAGTAACGAGCCGAGGAGCACTGGCTGGGGCCAGGCTCCCGCACAGAGAGGTTTCACTGCCTAATGAACACTCCACTTTCAGGGCTTCCCACTAGTTATCAAATACAGAGCTTACATGTAAGTCTGAGACCTTGATTAAACCAAGAGAGCACAGCTGGCCCATGGGCTGACTGGAGTGACCAACTAGTGCAACTTTAGACTACAGTGTTGGAGTTTTTTATAATTGAGCAAACACTACCCAGAATTTTTCTTCAATGAAACCAACTCCTGCAGACCCATGAAGGCAGCTGAGAAGGTACAGAAGTTCTGACTGTGATTTCATCATGCCCAGCAAGATTTAACTGGCTGGGCTCCCAGCACAGGGCACAGCTCCACACCCAAACCTCACAGATGGGCACTCTGCCTGCCCAGCCCTACAGATCTCAAACTGACTTCCACAGCTCCAAGGGCAGCCTGGAGAGGCCAGACTGATACTGATGAAGAAAAATTAACCTGAGCATCAGTCTTTCAAAAAGAGCAGCAGCCCCTATCTTGTAGGCAGGAAAGGCCAGCATTCTGTTGTGTGTGCTTGTAAGCCACAGAAAGCCCTGGACCAGCTTCTCTCCCCTTCACCTCCCCTCGGAGGGAGAACAGCCACTGGGAAAAGCAGTGTAAGGATTTTTGTAAATCATGTTCCTAAAAGGCCAGTCTGTGGGTGGCAGCTGCCAGTTTGCTCAGTGCTCCCCAAGCCAGGCCAGCACATCCCACCCTGCCCAGGTGACCCTGCTGACCATCGAGATCCTCCCCAGGCAGTGACAACTGGGAAAGCTCCCATGGCAATGACACAGAGACCAGCACACACTGACCGGGTCTGAGAACCATCTGTTGGGAATGTTGGGCCTCTGCTGATCCACACAGACCACTTTCCTCATGTCTTCAAAACTGGGGTCGTTCGGAACCAAGTCATAAAAGGGTGGCTTGTAGTCTTCCACGATTCCTGGTGAGACACAAACAGACATCACTCAATGAGTGTGACAGTGAACAGCACTTCTGCAGGGACAGAGGGAACACAAAAGCCATCCAAGAGGCACAAAAATCCTTTAGAACTCAACCCTACAGTGTCATGCAGCCTCCGAACAACAGAACAGCGCTCACTGACCCAGGAACAGCTTTTCCTACTCAAAATGTTAATTAATTGGCTCCTATTGCAAGTCCACAAAGTATGGGCTATACCCACTTTGCAGATGCTGGAGCTGAAAGGAGGAGAAGTAAATCCCTTGCCAAAAGGCCATGCATGTAGCTTTCCTGCCTACCAAAAACTGGGATTCCTACAGATGGAAAAATGTAAGGTCTGCACTGGGGTTTCTAACAGGCTCAACACACACTTTGGTGTTTCTGTAATTGCTGAAAGAGTCCAATAAGCATGTCAGCATCCACAGACCCTCAAGCTGGTGCTTCAAACCATTTCATTCCCTGCTATGAAAACAGTAAAATCCTAGGGTAACTGGCACCACATGCCATCACAAAACCAAACACCCAAGAGCCTGTGGCACTCAGGAGTTCAATGCATCTTCATAAAATCACAAACTGGTTTGGGTTGGAGGGACCCTCCAGCCCATCTCATTCCACCCCTGTCTATGGCAGGGACACCTTCCACTGTCCCAGGCTGCTCCAAGCTCCATCCAGCCTGGTCTTAACCCAACACCCTGGCCACGTCCTGGCCTTTGGCACTGAAACCAGAGCTGTGTGTGCTGCTCCAGTGTGTCACCCACGCACAGAACACTGCCAGGCTGGAGCCCCTCTGCCTGCTCCCCAGGACACACGTGCAAATCCCTGATTCCTCACTGCACCAGGCTCACCAACCATCTGCAGGGAGCCCAGCCCTCTCAGGAAGCCCATTTGCAAACTGGTGTTCAAAGACAGGCATCTGGGTCAGCAGTGTGGAAAAAGCCGGAGCTAATGAGGCCCTCTGTGTCCAGCAGGAACATCAAATAGCTGCTGCTGACAGAAATTCCACAGACTGAAACCTGCTGTCCCACAGCCAGACATGAAATCCAGAAGAATCTCCGCTGCCCTGAAACTGAAAAGAGGTTCTCAATCTTTCCTACAGCAGTTGAATTTTAATTTTCCTGTTCTATTGGAGATGAAGATCAAAGTCCCATAGATATTCTGTGCATACTCTGCAAAAGTCTGTAAAAGGGTGTAAAAGGGAAACAGGAGATCACAAGTGCCTTGGAGAACAGTGGGGTAATTTGGAGACGTGGCTACCCCAGCAAGTTCCCAGCCTGCAGTTTGCCTGTGCTATTCTGACAGGGACACAGGACAAGTGACAAGTGCTGTGTAAAGCAGCATCACCCACCCTCCTGCTCAGAGCACTTCCCAACTGCAGCTACCAAACATCACCTGCTGGCCTGAATTCCCACCTTAGGAATCCCCTTTACTGTGAGACCTCATGAACACAACCCCCCGTGTGCCCCTGCTGCCACACCTGTCCTGCAGGTGAGGCTGGGCCTGGCAGAGACCAACACCCAGATCCGGCTGTCCCAGAGCTCTGAACACACTCCCAGGGCACGAGGATATCCCGGATGAACTTTCTCTCTCCTGGCTCTCACTCACTATTGTCATGTGCTCTTTCCCAAGCCCAGGGCACACAGCTGGCTGCTGCACAGACACGCAGTGCTGAAGACAAAGGAGGCAGGCTGGCCTTTGCTCCAGTGCTGCCTGTGCAGTCCCTGAGCTCTGTCCAGCCTGGCGGGAGCCCTCGGCAGTGCTGGGGCCACTCAACCTCTGTNCACAGACAGGCTCAGGGACAGAGGGACCCCTGTCAGGGCAGCGGCACCCGCAGGGCCCCACAGCAGCAGGAGAACACCAGCTGGCAGAGGGGCACAGGATGTGCCCACTGTGGCACACAAGGACAGCAGATTTTGGGTACACGAGCAGGCAGAGGGGCATGGGAGATGCCCACTGGCACACAAGAACAGCAGATTTTGGGTACATGAGCTGGCAGAGGGGCACAGGATGTGCCCACTGTGGCACACAAGGACAGCAGATTTTGGGTACACACACACCCCAGGAGCAGAGGGGTCCTGGGTCTGGCGTTTTTAACACATTCATGGCTTCCAAGGACATTTTTCCTGCTGTTACTGCAGTAGGAGCTGGGACTACACAGCAGATTCTTGGATGAGTCCCACCATGCACCAAGGGCAGGGTGACTTGGTGTTCAGAGAAGAAAATAATCTGCCTGACCTCCCTAAAAAGCGACATTTCCTGCCTTTTAGCTCTCAGTGCCACTGGCAGAAACACAGAGGACAGGCAGACACGGCCTGCAATGAGCCTTTGGGCAGGAGGAGCAGGGCCAGCACCTGAGCCCAGCAAACACAGGAGATGGGTCTGTGTGCTCCAGCCCTGGCAGCGAGTGCCAGCCCCAACACACGCAGGAGTCACTGATAACACAGGAATCACTGATAACACAGGAATCACTGATAACTGAGATGGGTCTGTGTGCTCCAGCCCTGGCAGCGAGTGCCAGCCCCAGGCACAGCAATCACCCATAGCTGAGGAGCAAGGGTGACACTGCCGGGGAGCAGGGATGGAAGAGCAGGGGTGCAAACCCAGCTTCATGAGGACAATGAATAATTCAAACACATTCATAGGCAGTGCAACTTCCACAGTTAAATGGAGGGAACTGAACACTTAACTCAAGCCCACATACGTGGGGCTAACAGAAAACTAAAAGCCAAAACTCTGGTTTTTAACAGAGTTTATTAACTAAAATCTCTGGGGAGCAAAGCCCAGACCTGCCCTCTCTCATGAGCCACACAAGGTTCTACATCTCAGCACAGACTTTTTACTACACAGATTAACAGGGCACTAATCTTCCACAAAGTCATAATCCATCACTGCTCACCACAGCTAGCAGTGGGGCATTTCAAAATTAAATTTTGAAAGCAAAGATCTAAGTGGCCTGATGGGAGGAAATGCTGAATATCCAGAACGTTTCCATCTTTGATCATTTCTTATGGTCATTGTCTGTTGTGCCCTTCTAGATACACTTTGATTTCATTTCCAAGTAACAGACCTGAGGCTCCCATGACTGTGGGCTCTCCCCACAGGCACAGACCCCAGTGCCAGGACACAGCTGCCCCTGGCACCTCCATCCCTGGGCAGGGGTGCAGATGTGTGTCCAGGACACACACCTGGACCTCACTGACCGGGCTCAGAAAGGACCCGGCTGGCAAAAGTCTCACCATGGACCAAGGGGCTCAAAGGAGATCCCAAAAACCACAGTCTGGCTGTTTGCCATGGTGCAGCCCCGTGCTGGTGACGGAGCCAGGACAAGAAGTCCCAGTAAAGGTGCTGTGGGAGGGCGTGGGTCTGGCACAGCCCTTGCTCTCCAAATGCAGAATTGCTGGGAACTGGCCATGGCAGAGGAGCTCAGCCTGCCGGGCTGGGGCAGGAGCAGCAGCTCAGCCTCTAGGGCTGTGGCCATGGGGCTGGGACAGGAGCAGCAGCTCAGCCTCTAGGGCTGTGGCCATGGGGCTGCTCTGAGAGGAGTAGCAGCAGCTCCCCTGCCAGGCTCTGCCCCAGGGCTGGTCTGGGAGCTCCAGGAGCTGCAGGGGCAGTGTGTAACGGGGGCTGCTGAAGGCACGAGTGGGACTGACTTCAGAGCATTGCAAAACAGCTTCACCACAGAATCACAGAATTGTTTGGATTGGAAAGGCCTCTGAGACCGAGTCCAACTGCTCCTCATCTCTGCTGAGGTCACTGATGACCCACTGGGTCCCCAAGTGCCACAGCCACAGGGTGTGGGGCTCTGCAGGGGACTCCAGCACTGCCCGTGCTGGGGCACCAACAGCCAGGGACAGTGACACCAAACCACACAGAACAGCCAGGGACAGCGACATCCCACAGAACAACCAGGGACAGCGACATCCCACAGAACAGCCAGGGACAGCAATATCCCACAGAACAGCCAGGGACAGCGACACCACACAGAACAGCCAGGGATAGCAATATCCCACAGAACAACCAGCCAGGGACAGCAATATCCCACAGAACAGCTCAGCTGTGCCCGAGCAGGACAGCACAGCCTCACCCTCTGGGGACAGAGGGCTGTCCCTACCCCGGGGAATGCTGCAGCTGCAGCTCGTGGGGAGAGCAGAGACACAGGAGAGGACGCAGCCCTGCTCTGCCATGCGGGATCAGACACTGTCACCCACCTCAGAAGGGCACAGGAGAAACAGGAGGAGTTCCAGGACAGACAGCAAGGGCATCAGGCATTAAGAAACTCAGCTGTCACATCAAAGGCAGTTCTGGAGGGGTGTGAGGGTTCTATGAAGGGATCATAGCTCACACCTAGAGGATGAGCAGGGTCAGGTACTCAGCATTTCACAGGCACTCAAGAGCCCTGGGCAGCCCAGGTGACACAGGCAGGAGGAATCTCTCCTCTCCTCTCCTCTCCAGGTGTACCCAGCGAGCACAGCCCACCCCACCCGTGCCTGGGGACCCCCAGCAGGTGCCACAGGCGCGGCAGAGGCAGCAGCCCCCAGCCCAGAGCCCCCCGTGCAGCCCACCCTCCCCTCCAGCACCTGCAGCAGGGCCAGGGGACCCTCAGCCCAGCAGGGACAGATCCAGCCCAGCCATGGAGGTGACAAATTGATTCTCCTGTAACACATTTCTTCAGAAGGCAAAACCAGAATTTTGAGCAATGACTGGTCTTAAAAAAACTAAATCTGCTTTTTAGACTATAATGAAAAATATGGAGAAGTTCTCCCTCTGGAGAGGGCTCTGAAGGAAAACAGTTGGAGGAAAAGCTCCCTGTATAAATATACTGTAAGAAGGGCTGATACCAAACAGGACAAAAACTAGAAAGTTGTAGAAAATAGAGGAAAGGTATTTGTTCTAGAATTGAGAAGAAAATGTCTTTGAATGAGAGACATCACAGAGTTCCAGAGTTTTGATTTCTTAAATAAACATCTGGGGAATGATTTTACAAATATTTGCAGGGATCATTATTTGGGAAGGAAGATACTGGATGCTCAAAATCCCCATTCTGGAAAAGCTCAGCAGCCAAGGCAAAACCCAGCAGGCAGGAGCTGGGTCCAGGCATTGGAATTAACATTGATAGGGCAGGGAAAGGGCTACAGCACCCAGGGAAATGACTTTTGGTGGAACAAGCTGCCAAAGGGCATTTTTGGGTTTGAGCAGGCGAGGGATCCTGGGGAAGGTTTTATGGGACACGAGTGAGACAGCAGAGTGCTGTGAGCGCAGGGTTTTGTGTCCTGCAGCTCTTGCACAGAGCTGAGGCAGAGCCTGCTGGTCCAGCCCGCGGGGGCTGAGGGTACAAACTCCAGGGAGCAGCTGAGATAAGCCAGGCCCGCAGCTCTGACCCACGGCAAGGCTGGAGCTGCTTGCACAAGAGAGTCCCCAGCACTGAGCGCTCCTCAGTCGCATCTGGGGGCTTTGACAAGGAATTTTCCACCCAGACAGTCACTGCCTGTCCCCTCTATTGCCACATCTGCCTGTCTGGTTTGTGCACAGCCAGGCCTGAGCCAGGCTCTGGGGCGGGCAGGAGGAGAGGACCCTGCACGGCCCTGCGNCAGCCCTGGGACACGTCCATGGCCCTGAGCTGACTTTAAGCCCAGCTTGTCCTGTGCATGCACAAATCTCACTGCTGAACCCAACACAAAGCACAGCCGCAGCTCCAGCCTCACACAGGGAACAACGACCACACACCAGGGTTCCTCTGAGCAGGAGGAACACACCTCTGAGCTTCTGGTGTCACTGTGGAACAAGAGCACAGGCCTGGGAACAACCATGGCAACTCCCAAGGATGTGAGCTGTGAGCACCAGGCACCAGGAAAGTGCTGAACCAAGGGAGCACATTCCAAGAGCAGGGGACACCTCCAGGGAACCAGCACTGCTCCATTTGAAGAGAGGCAAACTCAGCTTTGGGGACTGAAATCACATTCTGAGTACAGAGAAAATGCTGGCTGGCTCCTGCTGCAGCACACAGACAACACACAAGTACTTCTATGTGCCAAAGGAGGTTCCTATCACATTTTCCTCCTCATACTAAACAAGAAAATACCAAGAACCACCGTGTCCCCTGGAAGATCATTGGGCAAGTTTTTAAAAATAAAAATAAAAAAAATAAATTAGAATAAATAAATAAAAATTAAGAACTACAAGACTTAGTAGTCATGTTAGAACAACTTCAAGGTCTCTGTGAGCTGAAGCACTAAATCAGGCTGAGTCACTGGAAGGCTGTGCCTGAGCCCAGGAGAGCACAGGGAGCTGATGAGTGCCTCTGGCCCCCCAAGACACCACCGTGCCTCGCTCCTGCAGGCTCGCTCCCAAAGCCAAAGTCTCCCTGCAAAGCAAACAGGGTTATCAGAGTGACCAGCAATGATTCCCGCACAGCCCAACACACAGGGGCCAGGGAAGATGTTTACTCCACCCCAACCAGTGCAAGGGCATGGAATTGCTTACAGCAGCAGCCAGGAGTACAGAGCAACTGGTTCTGTGCAATCAGTGTCACCAGCACCTGAAACTTCAGCTGTCCTGATGTGACCAATGCAGGCACAGATCTGCATCACCTCAAGTGTGTCCATGGTGGCACTGAGCTCACTCAGAATCAGATTCCCAGAGCATGCACCTGTAAGCAGGTAGGTCTGCAGTCCCACCTGGTGAAGCTGCCAGCACCATTTCTTGTTCAAGAGCAACTCAGGTAACGCCTCTGCGAGCTGCAGCTGCTGCAGCAGTACCTGTGTCCAGTGCCAGAACTGTCCCTGTGCACAGACCAGTGCTACTTTCCAGCCTGGTAAAGCAAAAGCAGTCCTGAATTCTGATACCTTCTGCACTGCCTTTCTTTCTGTCTTTTATAGGGTTTGTCATGAGAAACTGACACCTATAAACATTCACTATGGTTTAATGACACAAGGAAGGAGGATAGAGACCTTGTGATCTAAAACTTTAACGCAGCTATTTGATATGAATTGTGTCCCACCAGGCCTTGGAATGAGCAGGGGACTCTGTTCTCTGCCTTGACAGGAGTGGCAGCAGGATCATCACTGCCCCCAACACAGCAAGAGCCTGCCCAGCGTTTCAGGGGTCAAGCACCGTGGCGCCCAGCCCGTTCAAGGTGCCTGGCTTGCATTACCCCGGGGAGCTGTCCCAGGGCCCAGGGCAGCCCAGCACTCGCACTCACCGTTGCTGACCATGCGCCTGGCCACCTCCCAGAGCACCAGCCCGAAGGCCCAGATGTCCACGCGCTTGTAGGAGTCGAAGCAGTCGGCCTGGATGGACTCGTCCAGCACCTCGGGGGCCATGTAGCGCTTGGTGCCCACGCGGGGGTTGTTGCCCACGTCCAGCTGGTTCGTGCTCTGGGAATGCATCACTGCCAGGCCTGAAGGACACACAAACAAGGCGCGGTCAGGTCCCCTTCAGCTGCAGCAGCACACGCCCAAGGGCCCCGGCAGCAGCGACCCCTCAGAGGCTTTGGGAAAGAGGAGCCAAGGGCACAACTGCCCAAAGACCAACGGGGTCAGCTCCAGCCCTGCCAGCAAAACCAGCCCCAGGGGCCACACACAGGCCCGGTATCTCCCAAGGGATTACCATCCAGCATTTTACTGCACTCTTGCAAAACACTGCCATGAAGTGTTTTGCAGCCACTGGATGTCCCCAGCACTCCGGGCACAGACACGCAGAGGCCAAACAGCTGCTGCTCAGAACAAAACAATTCTACACAGCATTCAAGTTTATTTATAGACCCTTTGGGTAGGTGGATACACCAGAACTGAGGGGAAAGGAGAAGAAAAACACTGCACGAAGGATACACACAAGTTAAAAAAATAAAGCTGGAAAACAAAAACACCGTATTTGCAGCAGCTTGAAAAATAAACATCCTCAAGCAGATCTAAAATGAGTCAGACAAAACCACTCTACCTGGTTTCTACTAATTACTAAACATTTAAGCAGAGAACATTATGTGAGGGACCAAATGACTGTAAATTTGGAAACGCACAGAGCACTCATTTGGCCACGGTAAACAGAGAGCACTGCAAATTGAGGAGCAGTGGGTGCATGGCAGAGCCGAGCGACAGAGAGGGAGATGCAAACTCTCCCTAATTTCCGCAACAAATCTTCTAAGATTGACATATACTATTTACATTTAACAGGAGTTTATTTTAGGTGAACCTTAAAAGGCTTTTTACCTCAGTCCCACAAAAACTAACCTAGCACCAGATCATTCATTTGCCTTTCTTTCCAAAGAACAGTCTGTTCTTTAACGTAATAAAAACCTGAAAAACACTTTTCTACAATTCAAATGCACTTCAAGATATTTCAAGCTGATAAGAATATGCTTATGGCTCCTCTAGAAAGATCACAGAATACTTTGGGTTGGAAGGGATCTCAGAGTTCATCCAGTCTCACCCTGCCATGGCAGGGACACCTCCCACTGCCCAGGTGCTCCCAGCCCTTGTCCAGCCTGGCCCTGGGCACTGCCAGGGATCCAGGGGTGCCACAGCAGCCCCAGCTCCAGATCCTCACAGGAAAGGGCCAGAGGGTGGAAACAACACAGAGCATCACAGAAGGAAGGCAGGAATGCATGCCAGAAGCAACAAATTCTTTGGTGAGTTTCCCTTACGAAGGAGGAACACAGGAAAAATGTGACAGGTATATATCTGAGGAGGTCACATTTTTAAAAATAGCTATTTTAGCCACCACAAAAACTAATCAGGAAGTGTTTACTGCTGTGCTCTCTTAGAAATATCTCTCAGACCTCTGAAACCTGTAGGTAAATAGTGTAATAGATTTCACTATACCAGTGCCATGTCAATCAATGCCTGGACATGCTGCACCTCCTCAGAGTGAACTACAAATTTATTTAAAAGCCAGTCTCTCGCACTTTGTATTTTCAACTTACCGCTGCATTTGTTACTATTCTCACATCAAACTTCCAGAGGCCCAAGCATGTGGCTTTCATGTTTTCCCTGTCTGTATCTCAAGTCCCTCAGGCACAAGTGACAGAAACTATGCAGTAGAATTATTATGTAAAAATTCCCATCTCCTGATACACTTTTTGCCTTGGCAATGGTGCCCCAATACAGTTCTACTGCTATCTCCTCCCTTGTCTGCAGAGAAAAGCAAAAACAAGTTACTGCCAGACATCCCTCCAAGGTGTGAACAAGCCACCCTGCTGTGACTGCTCCTCAGCACCCGTGCATCGTGCTTCAGCTCCAAACCAGCTGGTCCCAGGGAGCTCGCTTCTGGGCCCACAGAGCGCTCTGCGTGACTCGAGCTGACAGAGCCACGGCACGGGGACAGCGAGCACACGGCTCAGCTGTCTGCGGGAGCACACACGCTGTTTCGGAGATGAGGTTTAACCCCTGCATCCGCAGGGATCNACACACACTCAGGGACCTGAAGGTTTGGGTCCTGGTTATTCATCATCACTGAGCCTTCACCCTCTGATCTTCCTCAGGCCTTTGACCCAGCAAACACCAGCAGAAACCAGAAGAACAACAAGAAAACAAAGGGATGGGAGGGCAAAACCCCACAGGGCTTTGAGGCTGTGGTGAGACAAATGTGCTCCCCAGCTTGGCTGTTTGCATGGCATGGCTCAGGGGGCACAGGAACAGCCTGTCCTGGGCATTTAAGAGTCTTTGGAAATAGGTACCACCAGAGAAACTTCTGCTGACTGAAGGCACTTACAGAGTTGGCCAAAAGCCGAGAATTTTGTTTCGTAATTTGTTTTGCTCCACATCAGGACAAAACCAAGATCTACTGAAATTTTGTGCAAAAAAACCCAAAGGGAACCCACAAACTCCCCAGCACGGGTTGCAGGTCAGCAGTTACCCCTCCCCTTGGTGCTCTGCCTCCCACATCAGTGTCCTGGCTACAGAGCAGCCCTGCCCTCCCTCAGTCACACTCTGCTCATCCAGAAACGCCACAAAACCACCAAAACATTCTGATCAGGATGATACATTCTGGCAAAAGCATTATACTGTTAGCTGTGGCAACCAGAACAAGAGGTGAAAGATTCCCAGACTGTTCCAAGAAACCCTTTATACATCTTTGGTCCCCCCCTCCCCAGATGCTGCTTCCTGTGGCTCTGCAATCAAACACTCAGTAGCCCATAAATCTCCTGAAAGGCCACACTGCAGTGGGTGGGGGCCTTTCTGATGAGGAGGCAGTAATGGAACTGCTTGGAGTGTTTGAGCATCAGGCATAAGAAGTGTTCAAAGAGTACCAGTGTGGTTAAAAAGTTATTTCATCATGGAATGGGTTGGGTTGGAAGGACCTTAAAGCCCATCCTGTTCCACCCCTGCCATGGCAGGGACACCTCCCACTGTCCCGGGGGGCTCCAAGGCCAGCCCAGCCTGGGACACTGCAGGGATCCAGGGCCATTCCTTCTGCCTCAGCCCAACCCACCAGATTTCCACTGGGGAGTCTCCAGCGGCCCAGTTTGGAACCATCTCCCAGGGAGTGAGAGGAGATTTGCCAGAAACAGCAACAGGGAAACCAAACCATCCACCTGGAATGGCTGGAATGGCCAAAGGCACCGAGTCAGAACAAGGGAGAGGGCCAGAGCCCTTCTCAGGGTTTAACTTGAATTCAAGATCCTCATAAAACGAGTAAGAGACATGGAGAACATGGAGTTGTGTCAAGTTTCCCATGCAAATTTTTTTTTCAAGTGCTTGCAGAGGAGACACAATTGCAGGTTCTCTCACTTCAGCAAACAATTAAAACAACAAAATACCCTTTTTACGTTAACTGGCATCCGAGTCCTTTCTCCCAGTGCAGAGGGGCTCTCACATGTTTTGGATTCCCACAGAATCCCGTCACAAGAGACTCGACAGACTCACAGCACAGCTGTCCTCACTCCCTGCACTGCACACAGGACACAGCCAAGCCAGCATCACCGCAGGCACCAAAGTGGGATCGCCTTGTAAGGCTCCAGGTTTTCCAGAACATTCCAAGAGTGAAAAGAGAGCCATGTTGTGAATCTGAAATAGCCACGAAACTTGGGAAAAGGATTTTTGGGTGGTGAAAACTGGAGAAAACTGCTGCAGAGACCCATGGGGGAGGAACGGGGGCGATGCAAAGTCCTTGACTCCAGCTGGCAGCGCACTAAGGGTGTCATCATCTTTTAAGATCCAAAGAGCAAGCTGGCTGCAAGTTTTAATGTCTTTAACCAAAAAATCCCTGGCCTTGCTAGGTATGATTTCCTTCTGGCACAGTTTCTCACAGTTGACACATGGCTTATCTCTGAGCTTGAACAGAAGAACAATACACAGGGATGAGAGGAAGGTATGCGTGGCCTTTTTCATGCTGTGAAAGCCACCAAAAAACACCCAAAAAAACCTTTAAAAAATCTCTCCATGATACCCACGGGAAGAAGAAAAATCCAGGTGTTGAAGCTGAACACAGCATCAGCTTTTCATTTTTTGAGAGGACAATATTTTAGCACAGCAACCAAGACCTGGGCTTGCTGACACTGATGCCAGTATGTGAATGCTGTTGATTTTAGGAGGTCAGGTAGTTTGGTGACAGAAGAAGTGGACAGTCACTGCACTGGAGAAGGTGGTCATTGCTTGGGTGGGGGCTGCAGTTGGAGACAAACTGGTAATTACTGATGTTAGATCATTGTTAAAATCCACCTCAGAGGCTCAGACCTGGCAGAGCAGAGCCCCAGGGCTGCACTCTGGCACACCTGTCACAGTACCTCAGCAGCCCGACATTGGATGAAACACTTTTCTCACACAAACCTTGTCTTTTAATGTATGCTGTGCCTGAGATTCTCTCTCTATAAATGGAACAGCACCTGGAATGTCTTTGCTTCCTTTCCCCAGTGCCAACCACTGCGCCAAGGCTCAGCACTTTGTACAGCAGACATTTTGCCTCACAGGGAAGACAACTGTCCCTATCAAAACAGTTTAATTCGGGTAACTAAAATTCTGGAAGGCTTCACATGGATTTTTGATGGATAATTCCAGCCCAGAAGGCCCACAAGGGAAGTTCCAGCTGAGGGGAGGAAGCCTTCAGTGACTTCCCTACAGCAGCACTGACTGGATGCCCAGCCTCAGGCTGCTCCCAGCAGCTCTCCATCCCCAGGACACCTTGCAGTGCCCCACGTTCCTGATCAGTAACAAACCTTTGCATATGGAATCACGGAATCACACGATGGTTTGGGTTGGAAGGCCCATCCCATTCCCATTCCCCTGCCATGGCAGGGACACCTTCCACTATCCCAGGCTGCTTCAAACCCCGTTGAACCTGGTCTTGGTCACTTCCAGGGATGCAGGGGCAGCCACAGCCTCTCAGGAAATCTACATTTCCTGTACCCCTCAAAATCAGACACATCCCTGGTTCCATCCAGTCTCCCTGGTGTAACTGCTGGGGACTGTCCCCACCAGCAGGACAGCGGAATCCCACAGGCAGAGCCGCTCATTAGAGCCCTTGTTCCAGGCAGGGCTCTGATCCCAGCTCTGTCCTGGCTGGTGCAGTGCAAACCCGCCAGACACATGAATAATTCAGCTGCAGCAGGGACTGCCTGTGCCATCGCCATAGTAATAAACGCAGCGACGCCCTCGCTGCAGCAGATTATGTGTAAGAATTCCAAATCTCTTTAGAAGATTAGATTTTTGTGGCGGTACTGAGGGAACACTGATTAATGAACACGCTGGGAAGTCGCATGGGAGGCTGGGGAGCTCCCTGCACGTGGAACCTGCCCATTGCCGAGCCCTGACAGCTCCAGGGAAAGGCAGCAAGGGATGCTCTGCTGTGATGCCCAGGCACCTGGAGGCGAGGTTAAAGCACACAGGTAACACCCCCTGGCTGTCACTGAGCTCTCCCTTCTCTGCCCCACTCCAGATCCCAAGGGCAGCCCAGACCCTGACTGTCCTCAGCAGTAACTGCACATCAGGACAGCACAGTGGGGCGTGACTTACCCCAACCAAGGGATCAGAACTTGCTAACAAATAACTCACAATGATTAGTTTCCTCTTCACCTTCTTGATTCACATTTGCCAAATAGCGACCCAATTCCAACACACACACTGGCTAACACTTCAAACAGTTCAGCCAATGCCTGGACCAAAAGTACTTCAGTAGCAGGGGGGTGAAAGTGAAATATGTTTAAGGTAAACCCTGGATGCTTTGCTATGCAGAAGGCACTCAGAGCAGCAGCAGCAGCGAGGGTGACCTTGCCCAGCACACCCAGGAGTGCCCAGGACTCCCAGCACTGACAGACTCTGTTACCCTGCCAGTGGCTTTTCCAGATAATCTCCTTTACCCAACACAGGATAGAGAGTATTACTGGGGTGTTCCTATGGCTTGTGGTTTTATCCTTTTGTCGGTTATCCCCTGTGTGTTCAGAGAAGGGAATGCAGCCCCAGGAGGGCTGAGGGAGCTGGGCAGGGGCTCAGCCTGGAGAAAGGAGGCTCAGGGGGCCCTTGTGGCTCTGCACAGCTCCTGACAGGGAGTGGAGAGAGAAGCGTGGTGCTCCTGCTGCAGGCCCCGTATCCTGCAGCACCGCAAGCAGCCCCAGCACAGCTGACAGCAGTACCTGGGGCTGGAAACCAAACCCAACCCAGAGCCGCTCCCAGCCTGCAGCCAGTGCCGTTCCAGGACACTGCACTCTGCAGAGGATGCTGCAGTGCAAAGAGCTGGAGCAGATATTAACAGGCTGCCCAGTGAGATGCTGTGACTCAGAGTGGCAGGGTTGGAGGGACACAGCCCAGCTTCCACCAGCATGGCCACAGCTGTCACTAACCCTCAGGACAACAGCTTGCCTCTGTCCTCCAAGCCCTGCACCGGAAAACACTGGAGAGGCAAAAACTCCAACCAAAACCTGACCACACACCCCACACTCACACTGCACACTGAAGTGCCACCTCTGCCTCTGTCCCCACTGTGCAGTGCCACCTCCAGTCACCCCGGCCTGTCCAGACACCCCTGCTGGCCTCACCCCAAGCACCTCCCCAAGAGCCTGCCTTGCTTCACACCTGGTTTGAGTCCTGCTGCCCGTTCCACCAGCTGCTAGAGAAAGGCAGGTGCCCAGCAGGCAGGGGCACTGCGGGGCTGCAGGCAGTGCCAGCACTGCTGCCCTGCCCTCCCACAGCTGCACCCAGCCTGGCTCCCCTGTGCCACGCACAGCCCGTCCCTCCCGGTGTGTCCCAGCCAGCCCAGGGCACGGCTCACACACACGCCAGTCCAAACCAAACCAAAACACATCCAGGCATTTGAATTCCTGTTACAAACTAAGAGAAAAACTCACCGAATCCCACTTTTCCTGGCTTTTTCTCATCACATACAATTAGAGAGCTGGCAGCTGGTGGCAGCTCAGGCTGCCCTGCAGAGCTCTCAGCCCCAGGCAGCACCTACCCCACACACTTGGCTGCTGCTGCTCCTCCTGCGCTGGGAATGAGGCACTGCACCCGCTGGACCGGGACAGGGAGGACGGGCTGAGCAGGAGGAGTCACAGAGAGGCAGCAGAGCAGAGCCTGGTACACCTGAAGTGCTCCTGAAGTGCTGAAGGGACCCTCAGGGAAGTGTTTACCCCAGAGAGGAGGCGTGGAGAGGCTGACCCCTGCCCAGAGCCTTGGATCACCTGGGGCATCCCGGGCTAGGAATAAAGGAGCTCCTTTCCAGGGGTGAGAGGGAGCTCCTGGGCTCCTGCATGGGGTGTAAGGAAGGAGAGCAGCAGATGGAGAGTGCAGGCAGAGGGAAGCCTTGGTGCCCACTGAGCCAGCTGCCTCCCAGGGCTGGGCATCCCAACCACGGGAGGGTGGGGGACAGGGGGACTGGGACATGGGCAGGGAGAGCCCAGCACCTCCTGCTGCCTGCTGGGGATCCTGACCACGGGACAGGGACACAGGGACGTGTCCAGGGAGAGCCCAGCACCTCTGCTGCCCCTCTGGGGATCCTGACCAAGGGACAGGGACACAGGGACATGTCCAGGGAGAGCCCAGCACCTCTGCTGCCCCTCTGGGGATCCTGACCAAGGGACAGGGGGACAGGGACATGTCCAGNAGAGGGGACAGGACAGGGGACACGGACAGAGATCACTGCGGGTCACAGAGAGGGGACAGGACAGGGGTCACGGACAAGAGGACACTGTGGGCACATGGACAGGGGTCACGGACAGGGCTCACTGTGGGCACATGGACAGGGCTCACAGACAGGGGTCACGGACAGGGGTCACGGACAAGAGGACTCTGTGGGCACATGGACAGGGGTCACGGACAGGGCTCACAGACAGAGGACACTGCGGGCTCACAGACAGAGGACACCGTGGGCACACGGACAGGGCTCACTGCAGGCACACAGACACACCCCCAGGCCCACAGCACCCCTCTCTCCCCCGGCCGCAGCCCCCCAGCCCCCTGGCTCTGCAGGAGCGGGGCAGCACTCACCCAGGTCGGCGATGCAGCACTGCCCGTTCTTCTTGACGAGGATGTTCTTGCTCTTGAGGTCGCGGTGGGAGATGGCCGGCTTGCCCTGCGTGCCGAAGATCTCGATGTGCAGGTGCGCCAGGCCGCTGGCGATGGACAGCACGATGCGCAGGCAGCTCACCGTGTCCAGCGTGGTCAGCTGCAGGTAGTCGTACAGAGAGCCCATCTCGTGGTAGTGTGTGATCAGCCACAGCTGCGTGCTCGAGTTCCTGGAAGTCATGTCGGATGCAATAAAACCTGCAGGGGAGGAAGAAGGAGAAACACGAAAATGAACGGACAGAGCTCCTGCAAGAGTCCCCGAGAAGGGCAGCTCAGCCAGGCAGAGCAGGTGCTGATAATGCCAAGGTGCAGCGTGACCCCTACAGCCCATCCACCCAGGAGCTGCACTCCATGATCCCTGCAGGTCCCTTCAGCTCTGAATACCCTGTGACAAGGTCAATCAGTGCTGCTGGCCCCTCTTGCAATGCACAGCGTGTTTAATTACAGCTGCACTGCAGACAACTGCAGGTACTGCTGTGGTGAAAGCAAAGGCTGGAACCCTAACTCACATCTATTCACAAGAAGCCATTACATATTTGTCAGTCACATCAAAAAACTACTTGTTAGGACCACACACATTAAAAATATTTTTATTTTTCCTTCTTTTTTAAGGGTCTGGGTGTGGGGAAGTTCCCAGTCAAGCAGAAAGACCCCAAGTCTGCAGAACATTTGCTGCTGCCGCTTGAGAGGGTCACGCTGGAAAGCAGAAACACCCCAAACCTCAAGCCAGGAATAACCATTTCCATTTTCAGAGTCCACAGGCAGCTAGTGCAGACTGCTGAGAAAAGGGTTAAAATGGGTGGCTCAACCATAATGATCTTCATGAAGAAACAGAAAATTTTCTGTTCAAAACTCATGAACCTCAACCTCAAGTACTGCCTTCAAAAACATCATGTCTTTCAACTGAACCCCAAATTCAGGGGAAGCTCCCTTCCTGTCACCCCTGCATATATCCACATAGTGATCTCAACAGCTTTACCTGGGAACAAAAGTTTTATTCCCAAGTCAAAGGAACAAATCATGCTTATAAAAAGCTCACATACATTTGTCAGAAAGAACACCCACTGCCTTCTCTCCTAAAGTCAGACTTGTGCACAATGTGACATTTCTGTAATCTGTGATATTGTTTAATATTGCATCTAAAAAAAGCCCCTAAAATAGCCAACAAATTTGACAGTCATCAAGAAAGACTAAACACAGGCAGAGCACCAAGGAAAATATGCAATGTAATTTCAGCCAAGTCACTTGCTCTCTTGGGAAGGGAAGTTCAATAATTCACATTTCAGGAGGCCACCAAATTATTTTTGTAGTAAGAAAGGAACTGCTTCAGGAAACACACAAATGTCTGGCAGAGTGAGCTAGAGAGCCAGGGAACATTCTCTGACAGGAAGCAAGAATAAGGAGCCAAAGGAAAACTGACTGAAGACAGATTTTGGGTGAGGCAGTGTCAGCACTCAAAATGTGCTGCTGCTTTTATTTGCAGAGGTGGCACACCAGTGACAGAAGGGCACGTCTATCACGAATCAAAGGGCTGCTTAAACCTCAGACATGGCTCAACACAACAAAGCCACTTTCCCAGTTCTCAGAACCAAGCACATAAGGTATGAGTGATGCAAAAGGTGCATTTACTTTCCTATTTACAGGGAAAAAGATACATCATGCAGCTATAACTGAAGTTTAAACACCAAAAGAGCTTACCTGAGCAGAACAGTTAAACAGAAGAAAATACTGGATTCATATTGCACTTTACTTAGCCATAAGGAAAAGTATTCAAATCCCCAAATCTCATCATAAACTCCTCCCCACCTTTTCTCCCCCCATTTCTGCAGGGAAACTGAGATTACAACCCAACACAGCCACACCAGAGCTTCCAGAGCTGACTCAGTGTGCAGGACTCTGCCCTGAGAGCTGCAGGAGCCATCCCCTCCACAGGGCTCTGTGGCACCTGCACTGCTCTCTGTGTGCTCAGCGGCCAACACCTGGCTCGTCTGGCTGGCTAAGTGCCTCCTGCTGGAACACTGCAGGGCAGCAAGGCACAGCTGCTGTGACACACTCCCCGACTGGGACTCAGCCCCTCCTGCAAGTCTCTCCCTGAGAATTCCTCTCCGGCCATTTATCACAACACAGGAACCCAGAGACCTTGAGCTGCCTGCTGGGCGTGCAGCGCTACCTGTCCAGGTAACTCACCTTTACACCAGGACACAGAACGTGCTTGTCCCACTTACCTAAAATATTCTCGTGCCGCAGCAGTACAGTGTTGTACAGCTCAGTTTCCCTGAACCAGGACTTTTCATCCCTGGAAGAGAAGATCTTCACAGCAACGTTTTCTCCTTGCCACTGCCCCCTCCACACTTCTCCGTAACGGCCCTTTCCTGGTGGGGAAAAACACAGGGCAAGCTGTGAGCTGACAAGCAGCCCTCAGCAGCAGAACTGACTGCCATGAGCAAGCAGCACCCCGGTGGGCTGTGTTCCCTGTGTGCACCTGTCACACTGGAGCTGGCCATGCTGCAGCGCCCCTCACTTTCCCTGCATGCCCTGTGAGTGTGGCTCTCCCTCCCCGCACACCCCTGCAGCACAGAGCCTTCAACTGGCAGGTGGCACCATCCACCGCCAGCAACCAAAGCGCCTCTGCAGCTGGAGTGACTCAGGCAGCACACGGCAAGGTCAGCGTGCTCTACACAGAGCTCTGCAGCAAGGGGGACAGGAAGGAAATGTAATGCTGGGAGTGCAGCCCTTACATTTCTATTCCATCATCGCCCCTTGCAAAATGAAGATTTAAAGAAAACAAAAGCCCAAACCCATCCACAAACAAAAAAAGGATTAAAAACCACCAGCCCCACCAAAACCAAGCCCTGTGGGGATCAGGACATACTATCTGCAAGCCAAGCTTTTGAGCCCAAGAGCTTCCTCACCTCTGCAGTGCCTGCACAGCACCCTGGCTCAATGCCAATGCCTCCAGGTATCTTTGACCCAAATGCCTCCTAAACTCAATTAACACTATTCAATTAATAATAAAAATATGCTGAAGAAAAATGTAATGAATCCTTCAAATGAACACTAAAGCCCTACAAAAACTAAAGAGCCAGAAGACACTGACCCACACACTCCACAAGTGTGATCTGGCGAGCCACCGTTCTCTGCACCAAGAAGGGAAGTCCAGAGCCACTTCCAGATGTGCAGGAATGGTCCAACAAATCCTGTTCAGAAGGAAAAGCAGCAGTTTAGGACCCATGAGAAACCCCATTTTCCCCTGTTTACACACACCAAGGACAGGTTGGGTTAAAGCTCAGGGGTATCTCTGTGGCTCTGGGGATGCCATTTGGTCACTCAGGGTCAAAGAGCATTTGCTTAGTCAGTCATTATTTCTTTAATAAGAGTAATAAATACATGACAACAGATGTCTGTGCACTGGAAGCCCACTCCTGGCATACCAGCTATCCTCTGCCATGAGATTCTGCCCTTTTTCAGCACTTCACTCTTCTTTTACTCACCTTATGTCCTCTCAGTTCTGTTACTAATACCTATTCAAGCTTGGTGCAGGACTTAAAACCAAAACCAGTTTTCAAATAAACGAGGTGAAGGGACTTTCCAGAATCACCCACACAAGATTTGCCATTGATACTCCAGAAAAACTTCTGTAACAAATCTTTCTTAAAACCTTTATCAGTTTCTGGTATTTTTAGTGCATAGAGAGCAGACTTTGAGCCGTAAGCTTATAATAAACATGAGTGAGATCCTGATAGAATGTTAAAATCCCATTAGCCTTGTAAAATGCTAATGCCCAGCTACTTTTACAGCCAGGAGTTTTGTATTAGTTCAAAGCATTAACAACTATTGTTAGACTCTTTCTTTACAAAGGAAAATAAGTGTAATCAACTTTCTATTATTTCCAGAAAACTGCATTGCTGCGCTTGGACCAGATATCCATGAAACCTCACTTTTTCTAAGAACCTCTTAACAAGTGCTCAAGAAAAATAATCTGGGAGTGACAGAGACTACTTTACTTTTTAACCCAACTAAGGGCTCATTTTCCTTCCTGCTTGCATCAGAGGCAAAACAAAAGCAATGAAAACAAAAAACCATCCCCAAACTTATCTACAGCAACTGTAAAAACAAGATTTGAAGAGGCCAGAGCTCCTTCCACTAAGCAGCTTAGGGCTTTAAGCACTTGCTACACTGCAGAGACTAATCCTAAATGTAAACTTATCTAATGTGTGACAAAGCCAGTGACTTAAAACACAATGGAGAAGAAAAATCTGGAATTTAGGAGAGTTGCTGCTCAGATGAAGGTTTGGGCACAGGAGCTACCAATTACATTTAGTGCCTCAGCCACACTGGGAGGCAGAGCAGCAGCACTGGCTCCGAGGGCCTGACAGCTCCCAGCTCTTCGAAACAGAATTTTGATTTTTTTCTTTGCAGGTTTTATCAGCATTTCCAAGTAACATTAAATAACTACAAGTACAAAAGGTCTGCAAATGGCTTGAAATGATTTTGCACAGGTAAGACAGAGGAGCTGGTAAAAGCTGGAAGTCAGTGCTTTAGGATCACCAGCTGCACACAGGCCTGGGCCATGGTGGATACATCAAGACTGGCTGTTTCAAACCAGTAACGTGGAATATCAGGATTTGTGGGCTCATTAAACAGAGCCAAAGGCATTACCAAAAAGAGGAAAAACAAATATTAACAGACACAGGGCACTCTACAGCCTTGCAGTGAAAGCCCATTATGGTGGGACAGCACCAAAATAGAAAATGTTTTCCAGCCTCTTAATGCTGGGGGCATTTTATCTCAGCAATGCAAGGAGAATAAACTCTGCATTGCTTCAGAAACACACTCCATGTGCCCGAAGCTTTACTTGCTCTGCTCAGATAAAGGGAGGGACAGCTGCTGGGACATGTGTGCTCTGGCCTCAGGGAAGGGGGAAGGGACAGTCACCTGCAGAAAGGGAACCCTTCCCGCTCATTATACTTTCCAGAGACCGCATGAACAAGAGCGTATTTTGAAAATGGAGCTTTGAGTAAGAATTACACATTTCTTACAACTCCCACCGCTCTCCATCAGCAAATGTCACTGATATCCCAGTCATCCCAGAGTCCAGCTACCGAGATCATGGCAGTCAGGCCTGAAGGTTTTAAACATCAAAATTATCTCTATTTTCTTTCTCACCTAGCATCACATCTTTTCCAGCCCTTCAGGCTGTTGTACATCACACATGCAGCACTGTTCTTCACCTCTCCCATCACTTCAGGCCCCCCAGCAGCCAGGCACACTCTGTTTTGATGTGCTGACACTGCTTCCAGGAACAGGAACAGTACAGAGCAATTCCCCAGGTCAAAGGACCTGTACTTGCCCAATCCATCTTCTGTTAAAATTCATCAATACTACAGTTTTGGGAGCACAGGAACAGCACCACTCAAGTCCTGAGGCCAAGTGGCATCCCCAGCAGCAAAACATGCCCTTATTGACGTGGCCACACAGGAGGAGGAGAGGGGAGTTAGGACATGAGGAAAACTGCCCCCCTGCACTCAGGTGGGTCACTTACTGCCAGCGTGCTGTCCCCCACGTTGGAGGCAATGAGGCCCTCGATTGTGCCATACTCTGCATCCCTGGAATTGAGCCTCTCCATGTGGTTCTTCTGTATTCTCCGTATGATCAGCACAGCTACTGCAGAAAAAACTATCAACACCACCACAGGGGCCAGGATAACGATGATTAGTGTTTCCATGCTGTAACCTGCAGCTTCTCCTTGAAAGGTTTGCCCTTGGAAAAGAGGGGGGAAGGGAAAAAGCGTGAAAAGAGAGAAAAAATAATTTTGCAGATTCCCAGAGAAAGTCTTTAAGCCCATCAGCACTGACACCAACGCGACCTCGGTGCCCACCCAGCGTGGCAGAGAGGCTGTGGCACGGCCAGGTGTGAGCACACCTGCATGGAGGATGATGCACTCCCTGTGGAACAGCACAGCCCCCACTGCACTGAGCCACTCCTCGCAGGCAGTGCCTCCATCCCGACCCCAACCCCGCAGGGCAGCCCCTCACTGCCCCAAACACAGAGAGCAGTGCACCCATGGGTGCCAGGGGCGTGCCAGCAGGCCCAGGGTGGGGACCAGGGCACAAAGGCACCCTGTGCCTCCCTTCAGCCAGCACTGGAGCCATCCCTGTCCCAGCACAGCACAAAGGCACCCCGTGCCTCCCTTCAGCCAGCACTGGAGCCATCCCTGTCCCAGCACACATCAGATCAGCCCCCTCGTTTCTCAGCAGGCACTCCTGCAGCAGCCAGCTCTCACCTTTGGAGGAGGGCAGCTGGGCAGTGATGTTCATGTTGCACAGGTGCCCCTGGCAGCACTCCACGGCCTGGTTGGGGGACGGGGGTGTTTTGCAGGTCATTTTCCGTTGCTCATAGACCTGGAAGCAGCCCTTCTGGTAGACCTTGGCCCCGTCATTAATGCTCAGGGAAGCAAAGCAGCGCTGGCCTTGGCACCGGTCCCCGTTCCCACAGGAGATGCCTTCACACACACACTCGTAGGGCACCATCTTGAGCTTCCGTTCATCGTCTGCAAAAGGGAAGGGCCCAGGAAAAGACATCATCCTGCTCTTCACAGCTTCAGTTAGAGCTAACGAAATCATAAGACAGTTAAAGCTGCTTAAGGGAAGTGATGTTGTTTTCAGGTGGTGCTGAAGAACCACTAAGCAGCAGCTAACGATTGTAATTCAGCTATTTCAGTGTGACAAAGATATGCCACAGCAGACACAGAGATCTCTCTCAAGTAAGTTAAAATATTAAACTGAGAAAACTAAGTGACTCCCAGAAAGCCTTTACTCAATGGTTTCCAAAGGCTGTTTGAGAAGTGGGGAGTACACATCTTTCAGGGGCTCATGTCTCAGAACATGCAAGAGATCCTGAAATAAACCATTCCTTCCTTTCCATGGCAGTGGAAATACTATTTCCTTTTTCTGAGGCAAACCTTAAACACACTGCGTGTCACAAAAGCTTCACGTGCACGCAGCTGTGTAAACCAGTTACAGAGGTCACTTTCCAAAGCCAATGGCTCACTGGAGCAATCAGGGAAGAGTTACCAAGCACCACACTGGAAATTCTCACCCCACACAACACTCACCTTGCCAGCTCGGAGATGGGAACGCCATCACCATCAGTACAGGGAGAATCATAACTCCATCAACCACCCTGGAGCTGCAGAAAGGAGAGACACCAGAGTTATGTATGCTTCCACTGCTGGCTAAAAGTGCAACCACCCCAAAAGCAGTGTTTAGCCTTTCATCAGTTCCTTACACGAAACACAGCCCAACGTTCACTGGACTCCATTTTAACTGTCTTGTTTCCTAAATAATTTCCTTCACTTATAAAATCCACGCATTTACTGCAGCGTCTTTTTAGATTCACAGAGACATCACATGCAACTACCATGTAAGTACAGAAGCTTGTAATAGGGAAATTATGAACTCTCCAGTACCAAGCAGGCATGTAATATCAAGGATACATTCTTTAAACCAGTTCCTAGAAAGTTAAATTATTGTTAGACTGAGAAGGTGGTCTGTAAAACTGTATTGTCTGGGCTTGGAGGGGAAACAGAAAAGATCTCCAGCAGAAAACTCAGAATAACTTCTACTAACCAGCAAAAACCATTGCTGGATGGCAAGAAAAAGACTGAGATGTATTTAAGGAAGATGCTGCTCTGTGAAGAGCAATTTCCCAGTTTAAGTTGCCTCTCCCAGGATTTTCCTTTCGAGGGCCCAAGTCCATTTCCCTGCTGCTGAAGACAGGTGACTACACCTTGTGCAACAGCCCTGGCTGATTCCAGCATAAAGCAGAGGCACATGTTCCCTCTAAAACAGGAAATAAAGGAGTGAACTTGCCTTTGTATTTCCAATCTTTGCCATGATACTTGGTCTTCACAAGAAAATACAGACCACTCTTTACTCCACTTTCTACTGTGCAACAAGGCCTCTGAAAAGAAACCCTTCTGCAGTTTCTTAGGATTTAACCCAACAGACAGGGCAGGTGACTCAGAATGGATTGTCTGTCCTGTGCAGGTCAGCTCCTGCAGGGACTCTCTGGCCTAGTCACATGGAACAAAATGCTCCTTATGTGCAGGTATTTGTCTTCATTTTTCAGATCGAATTCTAATTGAAGCAGATGAAAATTGAAAACAAATCTGATATTGCCATTTTCCTTTCAGATCTCTTCTGTTGTGCCTTTTCAAATCATCAGCACTTCTTAAGTGCTCAGTGATGAAAGCCAAGCCATTACTTCTGCATTTATTTCCAGTAATTGATTCGTCATCAGTTAAAGTGATCAGAGATTTCTGACCCAAGCTCTTCCACAGGTCACTCAGGGCTGCAGCCCCTGGCCCAGGTAAAACCAGCATGGGCTGTTTTGCACTGGTGGGAGCTGCCCCACCTCTGACACACCTGGGGCAGCCCCCAGACCCCCACACCTCGACCCCCTCTCCAGGGCATCCTCCCATGGCCGTTCCAGCCCCTGTCCTAACACAGCGGCTGAGGGAGAGCAGCAGGGCCCTGCAGGAGCCCAGTGCTGCTCCCCAGGGAAGGAGGCTGAGCACACGGACCGGGGGCTGGCCACACTGTGGGACTGAAGCCACGGCAAGCACACACCAGCCCAAACACCAGGAAAACTCTGCCAGCTGCATGGACTTACCTGGCGTCTTTTCAGCCAGTTTATTTGAGTTACCAAAAACAAAGAAACAAATATACACAAGTATATTTGTCCACATAAGCCCCTGCCCTGTATGTGTCAGAGGGAGGATGAGGATGGCAATCAGACCCACACCCCCAAAGAGGCAAACAAACCATACTGGACTTTTTAACAGATTTTATGCATTTCACACCAGGCATGGTTCTCCTAAGGAAAAAAGCTCAATACTTCCATTTAAACGCTACTTGTATGAAGCCGTTCATCTTGCCCAAATCCTCAAGGAACTCCTCATCTGCCTTTGCTGAGAAGAGCTGTGCACACGTGCAGCAGCCCGTAACACACCCAGCCCGTGTCCCCACATCAAGCCAAGGGCTGCACCAAGTCTGAGCAGCCACGGACACTCCGGGATTTTGGCTCACGGCCCTTGGCACGGCCCAGCCACACCGGGTCAGCTGTGCTGGGACACTGGAGCAGGGAAGGAGCTGGGAGACAGGCTCTCACCTTTACAAAACACTCGTTTCCCCTCAAAAATTATTTGAGGGCATGAGTTCAAAGGTGTTGTTCTCACTGCTTAAAAGAAATTACTTTTTCAAAGCAATTTAGGGACGTACATAAGCACCAAAGTCTGGTTCTAGTGACACCAGCAAGCACACCCCTTCCAGTTACTGCTTGTTTAGAGAGAAAGAAAATATACATTTTAATGTAAGGAACAAAACATTATTTAATAAAACCCCACAGGAAATTGCTGTGGATTTAAAGATCCATGAGATATCCAGTTATGATCTGGTACCTGAATTCACAAGAACGTTTTTCCTAAGGGAAGAGTTGGGATTTAACCCAGATAAATCAAGAGGAATTAACAAGCAACCAGCAAAAACACACAAAAAGTGTTTTCCTTTTGCCATTTGATTTGAGCTGCAGGCCGTGCCCTATGGAACTGCAGCACAGCAGCAAGAGCCACTAGAGGGCATCGGGAACACGGGCAGGGATCCCAGCTACGGGATGTGGGGATCCAGCCATCCCAGGGCTTGGGATGCGGGGATCCAGCCATCCTGGAGCTCGGGATGTGGGGATCCAGCCATCCTGGAGCTCGGGATATGGGGATCCAGCCATCCTGGAGCTCGGGATATGGGGATCCAGCCATCCTGGAGCTCGGGATATGGGGATCCAGCCATCCTGGAGCTCGGGATGTGGGGATCCAGCCATCCCAGGGCTCGGGATGCGGGGATCCAGCCATCCTGGAGCTCGGAATGCGGGGATCCAGCCATCCCAGGGCTTGGGATGTGGGGATCCAGCCATGCCAGGGCTCGGGATGCGGGGATCCAGCCACCCCAGGGCTCGGGATGCGGGGATCCAGCCATCAGATGTTTGGTGAAGACACCCAATATAACACACAACTGGTTCAGGTAACAGAGTCTATAGAATCCTTGTGCTCTGTAGTCATGAAGTCCCAATACTGCAAAACCCACCCTGAAACCCCAATGCTTGTTCCACTTTCACAGCTAATATTGCTCTCTCCTTTCCTCCTAAGAAAACTGTGTCCTGCCAAATCATTCCTGTATGGGCTTACAGCAATGTGGGCCGAAGTCCTGTACTGGGGCTGTCTGGCAGCTGCAAGAGGCCAGAGGGGAGAGAAGAACCAGGCCAGACTAGCTGAAACACCACAAGGAGCCTGCAGGCACTGGCTGCTGGGAAGTGGCCTTGAGTCCCCGGAGCCAGCACTGAGCACAGCCCACAGCCGACACTGAGCCATTAGCGCAGGAACCTCAGGCTGCAGTTCATCTCCATATGACACAGACATGGGAACATGAACATGAGAGCACTCAGACTTTCCAGATGGGATCAGAAGCACCCAGATATCGCTGACAGACCCAGTGGCCCCCAGCCAAGAGCCCAAGGGCTGTACATATTTTGCATGTACCTCACCAGATTCCTATCAAAAGAAAACATCCATAATACTGGATCACACTTGTGCCATCCACAATAGCCACACACGAGCTGAATTCATCCACAGCTGTGTCTTCAGAAGGAGAAATGTGCATTTAAAGGCAGTAATTCACAGCTTGCTCTTTAATTGCATCTCACACAAAGGAGGTGCAGCCCCCAAGCAGCCCCACAAAGGCATTCCTTGGGTCAGAGAGAGACAACCTTGGGCAGCCCTTTCTTATGGTCTAAACCTGGTTGCCAGAATTCAGAAGATGGAAACCAGCCACCAACTCCATTTGGTACCCACCTGCAAATGCACAAGGCACACATCCATGCTTTGCAGCTCCAAAAATGTGTCAAAGTGCCACCCAGGAAGACCAAATGCCTCAGATTCAAGTGACCACAATACAGAAAGAGTGAAGGATGGGATACTGGCTCTTCTGTACTCATGTACAAAGTAAAATCGCAGCACTGCTGAGTAAGAATGAAAACACTACACGAAAGGCAACTACACAGTGTAAAGTGTCCTGGATGTTTCTCCCAGTCAGTAACTCTGACACATGCACGAAGAGCCAATCCCTTGGTTCTTGTAAGAAAAAGAAAAGGCAGCAAAGCATGAGTGTCATATAGAAATAAAAACAGCCTTCTCCCAGGGAACAGGGACAGACAAGAGAAAACAGCATCAAGCTGTACCAGCGGAGGTTCAGGTTGCACAATGGGGAAAATTCCTTCACAGAAAGGGTTGTCCAGCCTTGGCACAGCTGCCTGGCACTGTCCAGGGCAGTGGTGGAGTCCCCATGCCTGGAGGGATTTAGAAGTTGTGCAGATGTGGCACACTGGGTTAGCGGTGGCCTTGGCACTGCTGGAAGGATGATTTGATTTCATGATGGTAGAGGGCTTTTCCAACACAAACCATTCAGAGATTCCCTGTGGGCAGCAGAAGCTCCCAGCGGCTGCAGGAGGCAGAAGGCACTTGCCCCCGTGTAAAAGCTCAGGCTGTGTGCAGGTATTGCATCAGTACAGGGCTCTTGGGCAACCCGCTGACCGACGGCTTACTCAAACAATGAAGCAAGCACAGACACTTTTAAATTGATCTGCAACCTCCCAGTGCCTTTGAAGACACATGTATCTTTCTATATCATTTATTGCTTGCAGGGTAAATAAATTCACCGGGAGGCAACTGCCAAGGATTAGCATTGCCCTGTGGAACAGCCTTCCCCTCAGCAGCATGGCTTGAAAACCCTCCTTCACCAACCCCTGGCTGTGGCTCAGTGATCATGGCACCACCGGGGGCACCGGCACAGCGAGGTGTGCCCTTCCACATGGGCAAGGGCAGCACACAGTGAGCACGGGGGGTTTGCAGCCCGTGAGCTGCTCAGGGAATGCTCAGGTTCACTTTCACCTCACACCAACCAGGCGTGCACAGGTATCTGCTCAAGACACTCGGATGAATTACTGGGGCTTCTACACATTTCACACACAAACAAACACGGCTCCCGTCCCCAGCGCAGCCCCGAGCAACCCGCAGGGCCTGCGGCACCCCCTGCTCTCCAAACAAACACCGCGCTGCCCCCGAGCAATCTCTGCGAGGAACTCACAGCCCCGGCGAGATCACTGATTGCT